TCAAAACACACTTATAAAAAAAAAGCATTGGAGAAAGGAGCTAAGAGCACAAATGGATCTCTGTTAATGGTCAATTAATGGGCAGAGACTCAACTATCATTTCTTTTTTCAACTGAGAGAAAATATTTAAACGTTTTTAAAGGTATAGTTTATCTGCATGTAGCAGCAGTTCATTTAACATGTACAAAACTTAAGATACCGTTCCATAATTAAGGTTATAGACAAAGTACTTGTTGACAAACTAAAAAAGGGTATTAATTCCACAGGTGCCTTCTTATTGAAGTATTGAGCAGGAACATGAAATATAAACTTTATATAATAATCACATTCATTTTCTAATTCTCTACTTCTCTTGATGCTATCTTCTCAAATAAATCATTTATATCTTGTCTCAAAACTGCTGGGTAAAGATTAGAACTCGGGAGACCCAACTCAGACAAGGTTGATGATATTGACATTCCTCCACTGTTTTCTCTTAGTCATCTATTAGACTTGTCATTTCTGAATGATGAGCACCAGTCTGGGTATCAGCAGGACTGGCCTGATAAATTCCATTATTATACTGTACCTGAATCCAGGTCAATAGGAGTCGGAGAAAGTAATTCTCAAATTATTCTTTACCATTCCTGCTATGATTGTTTATTCTTTTCAAATGCTCAGTTGAGACTGTAATAAAATATGGAGGAATTTGAGACTAAAAATTTTGTCACTACACTAAATATATAATAAATAAATATATGATATATAATATCTTAAATATATTTGTCAAGAGATTTTGCAGTTTGAAAATTCACATCTTTGTACTTTACAAGCATAATGAAGCCTATGGAAAAGGAGATAAACTCGATGTTCTATGAGGAACATATATGTAGTTTACTAATATATACTCAATCCAACCTCAAGATGACCATGTTTTTCTGTAGTATCTCCTGAGGAGAGATCTCTCTTTATTCCTTGCTGTTTGTGGGTGAATGCTTTACAAAATTCGTTTCCGTTTTCATTCTTCCATTATTACCTCAAATAGCTTGAATCTGTAACTGCAAAGGCAGATTCTATTTATGTAGCTGTTTAGAAAATGAGAAACAGAGGTCAACTTTAATCTTAATTAAGGATGCCGATTCAAGACCCATACAGGTAGTCAGATTTCTCTTAATAGAGAACAGTATAGATAGATAAAAAATACCTTATATCTATTAAAGTCATGTTGCAAGATTCAAAAATAAGTACCCTCAAGTTATATAAAAAAAATAGAATTCCAAGGTACTCTGGGAGGAAAGATGTGGCAGAGGGGTGAGAGATTGCTTAAAGACAGAAACAGGAGGAGAATTTTCAACTACAAGAGCTGGAGAAACAGTTCCTTGGGTCAATGCCTAAAGAAAAAAAAGGAAATTATGTAAAGATAAACATGAGAGGTTTGAGGGGGAAATTTAGATGAATGTATGATTTAATGTATTGTATTAATACAATATTAATTAGTATTGGCATAAGTACTAGAAAAAATAAAGGGGTGTATTTAACTTATAAGTCCTAATTGCAATTCATTAAAATAATGACTCTGGACATTTGGGGCTGTTTCTGTAGTTATTCTTATATTGCACAAAACATTAAAAATCATACTGTATATCGAACTAATCATGACATTAACTGAAAAATACATAAAAGCAATTTTACCAAAGTATTAAAATTTGGAGAATGTTTTGAAACCAAGAGCTGTAAGAAAAAACAGTCTAACACAGTTTAATCTTCCCACTGAGGCAACTTAATGCACACTGCTAAATGATTTACAATGGAGATGACAGCCTAAAAATATTTCACTAGATTGCAGAAAAATTTCTTTTTAGTAAGGCCATTGCTCCAACTCCTCTTGTTCACTTTTCTCCCATGATACATATACACTTTGTTTTACTTGCACAGGCACGCACTGCACACACACACACGCACACACACACACACACACACACACACACACACACACACAAACACACACACATTTCCCATTCTTTTTTACAGTGTCTTGCCTATCAAGCAGATGGAGCTTAAAATTTCCCCAGCCCCTCACAAAGCTGTTTCTCTAGCAACCTTCTCTAAAACCTAAAAGACTTATTTCAAAACAAGCAAAAATGTTCTTTAAATCCTATGCTAATCAATCTGGTAGTATAACCTCTTTTTTTTTGATAAAAAGAAAAACAACCAAATATGTATGAAGACAGTTTAATCATAGCTATACCATAGAGGTGTATGAGGATGGATATTATTTTAAATTTGTTGCTTAAAAAATAATCAGTCTATTTGAAAGATCTCAGTTCATTTCTAATTCAAACTGCTATGTCATTTCCTTCCTCCTGCCAACTTCTGGTCCGAAGATCACACAATCAGTGAAGTTGGAGACAATCAGTGACTATCAGGAGAGGTCCTAAGAGGTCAAGGTGTGACACCTAACATCTGGCAGTATCTTCTAGAAACAAAGGCTTTAAATTTTTTTCTATAGCTTCATGATAACTAACTGAATTGGATGATTGCTTCTCAAAGTTATTCCTTATTTCAGTAGTTTGAAACTGTTAAAAGCAAATCGATCTCTAACCAAATCACTGTGACAAGGATTTATTGTGTGTTAGTCTCCTTCTATGAATTAGTTCTCAAATATACTGCCTGGTTTTAGCCTCACGCGAGGTTGGGGTTGTCTCTAATTCTCATTACTTAGAGGACATCTGAATGAATTATGAGTTCAGGTTTACCATCATCTTGACCTCAGATGACATAACCAGAAAAGCAAAACCAGTCTCAAGATGGTTATTTATTACTCCTGACTTCGGTTTAATTGTCTTGAAAAGTAGTTGTATAAAAGCATTTCTGTTTACTTTCTTTTATTTTTAGATTATGATATATTACATCATTCTCCCATTCTTTTCATTCTCCCATTCTTTTTCTCTCTCTGATCTCTCCCATACTTCCCTCCTTGTGCACTTTCAAATTCGTGAGCTCTTTTAATATTGTTATTAGTTGTATATATATTTCTCTATATATGTATATATTTCTAAATAAAACATGCTCAACCTGTATAATGCTACTTGCATATATATTTTTGGGGCTGACCATTTGGTACTGGATAACCAATTGTTCTCATCCCAAAGGAAAATTATTTCTCAACATTTCTTAATTGTCTGTAGAATTGTGTTCTCTTGGGATTCACCTGTTCAGTTTGGTTTGTCCACTGATGCTGTTTGTTCAGCTGATACTTTCCCAGTCATGTTTACGATACAATCTGGGTGTGGTTTCTGCTATGACTAAGAGATGCAGCCTTACAGCAAACTCCCTAATCTTTTGACTCTTAGAACCTTTATTCCCAATTCTTCCACAGTGCTCCCTGAGCCAGAGGTGTGGGGGTTGTTTTACAGATGTATCCACTGAATTTGTACTCCTTTTAAAGATTTGTTTTTATTTATCTGTTGTGCATAGTGCTTTGCCCGCACATGTGTATGTGAAACACATGTATTTGGTGTCCTCAGAGACCGTAATGCTCCCTAGGGTTAAAGAAAACTGTAAACTTCGAAGTTAGTGCTGAGGCCAAAGCCAGTTTGTCTGAAAGAGCAGCAAGTGCTGTTTAGCTTCTTTACCATCTGTTAAGTCACCTATCATGTCTTTTTGGATACAATGAATAAGGTCTTTGCTAGATCTTCATTTCACAATAGACACATTTGAGTCTATTATCTGTGGCATAGCATTTCGTCAGTGTGTGTGTGTGTGTGTGTGTGTGTGTGTGTGTGTGTAGCTACTATTCATTGGTCAATATCATGGCATATTCTTTGAAATTCCTTCTACTCAGAATGGATCTCAGTCACACCAGCTCTGTCTCTGTTGCTTTATTCTGTCTCACAGATTGTTACTGATAATATCTAAAGTAATCTGAGAAATGTCTAATTGAAGCTATCCATCCACCTTCTACAAATAGAAATCAGTTGTAGCTTTAAGCTTTTGAGTTTTATATACCTTTGTAAAATGGAGATCTCTTTCTTTAAACCCATATTCCTTACCTCTATAGTGTTTGAATCATGCAACCTCTATGAAGGCAAAGAAAATTTAACAGTAACTCAACCTATTTGAGGTTTTTAAAATTGTGAAATAGCATTATCATTTTAAAATCTTATTTCGTTTAGATTCTAAACTTACTCTAAATTAATTGGTCTGACAAATCTTCAAATTTAGGAACCAACAGATCCTTTTATCTTATTTCTGTTCAATAATACCTTATTTCTCCTGTTCTACGAAGAATTTCGGGATTGGAGTTAGGAAGCTCTGATTATATGGGAAAAAAAGGAGAGTGCATTGAAAAATGTGTTCCCCATTTATGTAATAATGGGATTTATGAGTTGCTGCGAGTCTTCATTTCTGTAAAATACAATATGCTACAATATAAGTTATTGTTTTGATGACTTTAACACTATTATTTTGAGAACCATGGGTGATATTTCTTCAGCGTACTTAGAAGAATTAAGTATTGCAGCGTCACACACACACACAAAGATTGAACTCGAAGTTTCCGAAACAGAGGAGAACTTGAAAGCTAAGCGCCAGACCTTATTGCTTATCTGCTTACACAACCCAGGGATGCTGTGGTGGGCTCCCCCACATTTAAATTTAAGAAGGAAAGATGAAAACAGCACCGCATCCGTTAGTATTCTTATGTCAGGACGAATTCCAACTTCACCGTTCTTTATTTACAGACTAACTTCCAGGAATTCAATACTGGTGTGCCTGGCTGTGATAAGGAGGCTCAGAGCTTGAAAACGAGCTCATTCGTGACAACTCTAGAGCAATGCTTGAATTTATGCGTCGTCCTTAAGAAATGTCTGCCTCTCCCACATACACCAAACCCCTTGCAACACCCACCCTCACTGCAGCACTGAGAAACAGCCTGAATGTGGGGTTATTACAAAAGTAGCCACTGAGGGGAGCCTACCGCGGTACTGCCCTCCCACGTTGCTATGACGATGAGACTGGCGGGCACACAGCCTTCAGAGCTAAGTGCTGGCTAAAGCAGGTGTCAGATTGCGATGAGCTATGTGGCTTGGAGCCCCAGGAGTGTCTCCGGAAAGTCGGGCTACTGTTCTACTGCATCCCTCTCGGACAGCTCCTTACTTCCACCGGAACACGCAGAGTGAAAATGGTCCACCACTCAGGCTCCATTCAGTCCTTTAAACAGCAAAAAGGTCAGTGGGAATTCTCTCCCTCCTTCCTGTGGGCACCACATCCCGATCTGCATCTCTTTGCAGTTATGCAGGAGCATCCTTTCCACCTGTATGTTGAAGAACTAAGGGACTCTGTAAAGTTAAGACCCCATTTTATAAATGTTTTACCCTGCTTCGGAGATAAGTCTGATATCCCAAACCGCATAGAGCCCCAGAGCCCGGGAGGGAGCAGAATCCATCATGTCAGGACTTGTTTGTATGTCTTTTAAATCTCCTTCAGTGCATTGCAGTGAACTCTCTCAGTAGAGAAGGTCCCTGCCGCACCCTGAGGTTTGAAGATTGAAAATTTGGGTGATGTTTGCCTCAGTGTGCGCTTCTAGGACAGCTTAAGGCTCACATGGGTAAATTCATTACTTTTTCTCAGCTTGGAAAATTGTATGATAAATGAGTTCCTGGAAAATCCCAGAAGTTGGTTGGTCCCAGATGAGGAAACTCTGTAATCTCCCTGGAAAACTTTATCTTCCGGCTGAATGCATTTTTACGGGTTTCCGGTTTTTATATTTATTAGGGTCTTTTTCCAGGAGCTTCCCAGCATATCGTTTAGCTTATACAAATTTTTCACTAGTTGCATGGTCAGATTAAAAATTATAATCACTCTTTTCTCTGTTTTCTTACTTATTTAAATGACTTTTCATAAAGCACATATTTCTTTGAGAAACAGATTCTAAGAATTTTATTATTTGATGCATTTATTCTACATTAATTGTGTTTAATGGATGAATAATGGTAATTGCTCCCTACTTGCTCATATAGTCGCTAAAATATACAATTCTGAAGTTTTACTTTTGTTCATTAAAATAAATATTTATTGAAATATTATTACTCCTTCTTTGACGCTAGTCTTCAAATAGTTGGTTTAGGATCAATCTTTGGCTTTGTTTTTGAATCAAAACCCTGGATAAACCCAGAATAACTTAGCAGGAATTTATTCTGCAGGTAAAATATTGTGCTGAAAGAGTTTCCAGTTAGGAGCTATAATCTGCACAAATTCACATGCTGTGGTGTCTCTTAAATGTATGTTGGAATTAGGTATGGAGTGAGAGACTGTGGGTGTAGGCTGAAATTTGGGCTCCTATGCAGTTCTATTTGAGCACAAAGAATTCCAAAGGTAATTAAACTACTTCAATAATTTTTGTTTCCTTACATCATTAAACACATATAAACAATGGGGTTCCAAAGAAAGAATAGAAACCTTGAAACGGCCTCCTACCATTATGTTCTAATGCTTTGGAGTCCCAGATACATAAAAGGTACCCCAGAATATTCATCTTGATACACGTTGTATGTTAGGGAGCAAATAACCATCAACTTTAAGATTGGTTATCTTTGCTCAAAGGAGTGATTAGACTCATGCAATTCATGGCATTTCATAGTGTCTCTTTTATAATGTACCATGAGTCACTTATTTTCAAAATTCACATTTTGGCTCCAAAAATAAACTTTAACAAAAATGTAAATGTGAGTAGATGCAGGAACCCAAAATAAGCAATATTAACTTTTAACTAAATGGTTCTAGTTAATTGTGTCTTTTAAAAAAAATCACTTTCTTTTATCTATTTTCTCTTTCCAGCCCTCCAGATTCCCTTCCATCACTTCCTCCATGCCCACTTTCAAGTTAATAGCCTGATTTTTTAAAATTATTGTTATATAGAGAGACCATCATTTGTGTGCATTTATAAATACATAAATACAACCTTTTGAGTCTATTTTTATTGCTTGTGTTTGTATAGTTTCAGGACCGACCACCCTGTATTAGACAACCAATTAGAGGTGCATCCCTGGGAGAGGCTAATTCTTCCCCCAGAAGGCAAAGTTACTCTGTCTGGGGGTGGGAATCTGCTAGAAAAAGATAACCCACATAAAGGATCATCCTTTTTCATTTTTTTTCAATAAGAATAAGCATGATAACATTCTGTGTGCCCTCTGACCTGGAAGTGTTTTCCAGTGTTGCTCACCACAACATTACACAAAAAAGAGACAGGGAATTCTGTACTCAAATCCGGGAGCCTTAGATTTTATTTTAGGCTTGCCTTTGGCTCTTGATAAACAGTTTTGGGAACTGTTTATCTACTTTTGATATTGACTCATGTTTAATGTGGAGACTTGGCTTCTGACCTTCTGTTCTCTGACTCCCTGCTAATTATAATTTAATATTAAACTATAATCTGAGGGGTTTAATCATATTTCCACAAGTTGTTATAATACACTTTGATCATGTCATCGTCTTCACACACTTTATTCCTACTTCTTATTCCCCATCCTCTTTCCAGCATCTTGTACTTCCCTTTTACTGTCATAGTCTTCTATCACTACACCCTCAGCTTCCACATATGAGAGAAAACACACAATATTTGTGTTTGTGGGACTGGGGTTTTAAACTTCTCTAGATATGAAATTCCATTATTTTCTTGCCAACAATATGACTTCATAATTGTATTCACCCATACATGGAATCACAGAGTAGTTCCATGGTTTGGTTGTTGTGAAAAGTGCTGCACTAGAAGTGTGTATGCAGGTAGCCCTCCAATAAGCTAAGTTTCATCCTTTTGCATAGGAATGGTATGCCATGACCATACAGAAACTTTATTTGGGAAACATCCATATTGGTTCCCCTGTGGTTACATATTTTTCTTCTGTTGGACAGAACAGGCAGTTAGCAATGTGAAGGTAAAGATTTTTCCTGTTGACCTAGAAGAAGAAGGTCTATTTTAATTTCATGTTTAGGAAAGTATTTACTTGGGTGAACAAATGGTGCCAATTACTTTTGTTTTACTTAAGTGAATTTAATATCTGTTTAAAAAAGCATTACTAACCACTCTGAAAAGGACAATGTTGATTGAGTCTCGTTTCTAGGAGAAGCTAATTCTCTCTCTCCCAGAAGTCATTAGTTGTTGATAGTTCTTTGCCTAGGAAACAGAATAACTCTGTCATCATGCATTAAAACCAAAATATTCATGAATATTGGAGAAGTATGTAATTATAAATTTGTTAATCAAAACCAATTGCTGATAATGCGTATGCTAATTAATTAATCAAGTGGATATGGCAAGATAGATATAAAAAAATCAATTGTTAGTCTGAAGTCTCTATTACTTGATATAAAGCAGTGGCTGTCAACATGTGGATCACAATTCCTTTTGGGGGTCACATATAAGATATACTGCATGTCAGATGTTTACCTTATAATTCTTAACAGTAGCAAAATTACAGTTATTATGTAGCAATGAAATAATTTTATGGTTGAGTGTCACCATATCATGAGGAACATCATGAGGGTCACAGCATTAGGAAGATGGAGGATCGCTGATCCATAATTTTCTCTTTTTGTCCTGCACATTAATCCTGCATGTGCTATTTACTGGTTTAATATTGTTAAGTCTGTGTGTGCTCATCTGTAATGAACATGATATCTAATGTATAGTATTGTAAGACCTTCAAATATATGTCAGGTAGTTGGAATTCAAAATTTAGTTACTAATAAAATACTCATTGTTATCATTTCCAGGATTCCCGATACTTTTATTGACATTAGGGATATAAGATGCCCTCAGCAGGACACACACATATGCACACATACACACACACATGCACACACACATACACACACACACACACACACACACACACACTTTCCTTTTTCTATTTTTATTTCATTCCATAATGCTTTTGGCATGTATCTTATAGAAACAGTGGGCTCTGGGTATTATAACAATTTTCCATTATGATAGTATCAGTGACAATCACACACTCTTACTAATAGTGCACTGTCCCCGAAAAAGTTTTAAAATGTTGTAATAAAGAAAACTTAGATGCACATTTAGCTTCATACATTAAAGATTGCAATACAATGAAACAGTAATTTATTGCCTCTGTACTCCAACCACATTCACGTAACTATTGTTTGCTATGTGATTTTGTCGCTCAGAACATTTTCATCCCTGAACATCTTACAAAATTCAAAATACAAACTACCAAAACCGATTTCACCTGAGAAGTCTGAGAGCTCTGCTGAGTCTATGAGAATCGGGGGCAAGTCTGCATTTTTGTCGGGTTGACATTTTGTTTCTTGATTATGCCATTTGTGTTTCTAAAGAGACCAACAATGTATGTTTAATTTTTCTGTTTTTTTTCTCCTGCTTTCCTTTTAAAACAATCTTATTTCACATAACAATCCCAGTTCCCTCTCCCTCTCCTTTTTTTATATGTTTTAAATACTAAATTTCTTATAAAAAATTAATAGGCAAAAACATTTTGAAAATTAGAATCTTCATCAAATATGAGAAAAAGAGGCAATTTCCTTGTTTCAGGTGTTTAAAGGGTATATGGGAGCGTTTGTGATTGCAGACAGCTAGGAGGATATACTCTTATTACTTTAGCACACCTTGGAGTGAACATAGGCTGGCAAACTAGGCCTAGTTTCTGGGTAAAATCTTACCTTGCTCCCTAGACAGGCATTATGTGATTCACTGACTCATGATGGATTAATATGTCATACAAGCAATGATGAAAAAAGGATAATGATTGTTCTGGCTTTTCATGACTGTTTATTTAGTAATAAGCTACCAGGAAATTCAGGGAGGTCCTAGGTTCCATCAAACACAGCCTGTCTCAATTATCTTGTGCTGAATGATAGCAGTTAATGCTGTGATGGTTTCATTAAAAATCCTGACAGTTGGTTAAACACAAAAATAGCATTTTTTAAGCAATTCTCTGAAACCAAGCATTTTTGTACCCAGATTAACTGTTTCATTATAATGGCTTCAATGTTTATATGGAGATCCGCAGGCTGAAAATAACATCAATTGTCTTTTCTGCTAAATACGTTGTGAGTGCTAGTGCCAATCTGCAAGCTTCTTCCAAATTCAACTTGGTGTTCAGGTCCTGCTTCATGACCCCCAGAGAAATGACACCTACTCTTCAAATCTTGACTTCTTCAACTTCCTTTTTTCTTGGACCACATC